CATGGGTCCCTGTACGGCCTCCCATTGCTGCTGTCTCCATCGCCACACTCTGCCATGTGCCACTTTCAGGTCTCCTCACACTGCTGGTGGGTTCCATTTTTCATGTCATAGGGTGCTGGCAGATTACGGGCCTCCCATTGCTGCTGCCAGGCCCGTAATCTGCCATGGGCCCCTGTACCGCCTCCTCATGCTGCTGCTGCCAGGTCCAGAGTGTGTCATGGTCCCTGTACGGCCTCCCATGCTGCTGCTGTCTCCATCGCCACACTCTGCCATGTGCCACTTTCAGGTCTCCTCACACTGCTGGTGTGGGTTCCATTTTGTCATAGGGTGCTGGCAGATTACGGGCCTCCCCATTGCTGCTGCCAGGCCCGTAATCTGTGCCATGGGCCCCTGCCATGTACCGCCTCCTCATGCTGCTGCCAGGGTCCAGAGTGTCTCATGGGTCCCTGTACGGCCTCCCATTGCTGCTGTCTCCATCGCCACACTCTGCCATGTGCCACTTTCAGGTCTCCTCACACTGCTGGTGGGTTCCATTTTTTGTCATAGGGTGCTGGCAGATTACGGGCCTCCCATTGCTGCTGCCAGGCCCGTAATCTGCCATGGGCCCCTGTACCGCCTCCTCATGCTGCTGCCAGGTCCAGAGTGTGTCATGGGTCCCTGTACGGCCTCCCATTGCTGCTGTCTCCATCGCCACACTCTGCCATGTGCCACTTTCAGGTCTCCTCACACTGCTGGTGGGTTCCATTTTGTCATAGGGTGCTGGCAGATTACGGGCCTCCCATTGCTGCTGCCAGGCCCGTAATCTGCCATGGGCCCCTGTACCGCCTCCTCATGCTGCTGCCAGGTCCAGAGTGTGTCATGGGTCCCTGTACGGCCTCCCATTGCTGCTGTCTCCATCGCCACACTCTGCCATGTGCCACTTTCAGGTCTCCTCACACTGCTGGTGGGTTCCATTTTGTCATAGGGTGCTGGCAGATTACGGGCCCTCCCATTGCTGCTGCCAGGCCCCGTAATCTGCCATGGGCCCCTGTACCGCCTCCTCATGCTGCTGCTCCACCCCAATCTGTCATGGGTCCCTGTACGGCCTCCCATTGCTGCTGTCTCCATCGCCACACTCTGCCATGTGCCACTTTCAGGTCTCCTCACACTGCTGGTTTGTTCCATTTTGTCATAGGGTGCTGGCAGATTACGGGCCTCCCATTGCTGCTGCCAGGCCCGTAATCTGCCATGGGCCCCTGTACCGCCATGCATGCTGCTGCCAGGTCCCAGAGTGTGTCATGGGTCCCTGTACGGCCTCCCATTGCTGCTGTCTCCATCGCCACACTCTGCCATGTGCCACTTTCAGGTCTCCTCACACTGCTGGTGGGTTCCATTTTTTGTCATAGGGTGCTGGCAGATTACGGGCCTCCCATTGCTGCTGCCAGGCCCGTAATCTGCCATGGGCCCCCTGTACCGCCGCCTCCTGCATGCTGCTGCCAGGTCCAGAGTGTCTCATGGGTCCCTGTACGGCCTCCCATTGCTGCTGTCTCCATCGCCACACTCTGCCATGTGCCCTTTCAGGTCTCCTCACACTGCTGGTGGGTTTCCATTTTTTGTCATAGGGTGCTGGCAGATTACGGGCCTCCCATTGCTGCTGCCAGGCCCGTAATCTGCCATGGGCCCCTGTACCGCCTCCTCATGCTGCTGCCAGTCCCAGAGTGTCTCATGGGTCCCTGTACGGCCTCCCATTGCTGCTGTCTCCATCGCCACACACTCTGCCATGTGCCACTTTCAGGTCTCCTCACACTGCTGGTGGGTTCCATTTTTTGTCATAGGGTGCTGGCAGATTACGGGCCTCCCATTGCTGCTGCCAGGCCCGTAATCTGCCATGGGCCCCCTGTACCGCCTCCTCATGCTGCTGCCAGGTCCAGAGTGTGTCATGGGTCCCTGTACGGCCTCCCATTGCTGTCCCTGTACGCCTCCCATCTGTCTCCATCGCCACACTCTGCCATGTGCCACTTTCAGGTCTCCTCACACTGCTGGTGGGTTCCATTTTGTCATAGGGTGCTGGCAGATTACGGGCTACGTCCCCCATTGCTGCTGCCAGGCCCGTAATCTGCCATGGGCCCCTGTACCCCGCCTCCTCATGCTGCTGCCAGGTCCAGAGTGTGTCATGGGTCCCTGTACGGCCTCCCATTGCTGCTGTCTCCATCGCCACACTCTGCCATGTGCCACTTTCAGGTCTCCTCACACTGCTGGTGGGTTCCATTTTGTCATAGGGTGCTGGCAGATTACGGGGGCTGCTGGCAGATTACATGGGCCTCCCATTGCTGCTGCTGCCAGGCCCGTAATCTGCCATGGGCCCCCGTACCGCCTCCTCATGCTGCTGCCAGGTCCAGAGTGTCTCATGGGTCCCTGTACGGCCTCCCATTGCTGCTGTCCATCGCCACACTCTGCCATGTGCCACTTTCAGGTCTCCTCACACTGCTGTGGGTTCCATTTTGTCATAGGGTGCTGGCAGATTACGGGCCTCCCATTGCTGCTGCCAGGCCCGTAATCTGCCATGGGCCCCTGTACCGCCTCCTCATGCTGCTGCCAGGTCCCGTAGTGTCTGTCATGGGTCCCTGTACGGCCTCCCATTGCTGCTGTCTCCATCGCCACACTCTGCCACTCTGCCATGTGCCACTTTCAGGTCTCCTCACACTGCTGGTGGGTTCCATTTTGTCATAGGGTGCTGGCAGATTACGGGCCTCCCATTGCTGCTGCCAGGCCCGTAATCTGCCATGGGCCCCTGTACCGCCTCCTCATGCTGCTGCCAGGTCCAGAGTGTCTCATGGGTCCCTGTACGGCCTCCCATTGCTGCTGTCTCCATCGCCACACTCTGCCATGTGCCACTTTCAGGTCTCCTCACACTGCTGGTGGGTTCCATTTTGTCATAGGGTGCTGGCAGATTACGGGCCTCCCATTGCTGCTGCCAGGCCCGTAATCTGCCATGGGCCCATGGGCCCCTGTACCGCCTCCTCATGCTGCTGCCAGGTCCCAGTGTCTCATGGGTCCCTGTACGGCCTCCCATTGCTGCTGTCTCCATCGCCACACTCTGCCATGTGCCACTTTCAGGTCTCCTCACACTGCTGGTGGGTTCCATTTTTTGTCATAGGGTGCTGGCAGATTACGGGCCTCCCATTGCTGCTGCCAGGCCCGTAATCTGCCATGGGCCCCCCCTGTACCGCCTCCTCATGCTGCTGCCAGGTCCAGAGTGTCTCATGGGTCCCTGTACGGCCTCCCATTGCTGCTGTCTCCATCGCCACACTCTGCCATGTGCCACTTTCAGGTCTCCTCACACTGCTGGTGGGTTCCATTTTGTCATAGGGTGCTGGCAGATTACGGGCCTCCCATTGCTGCTGCCAGGCCCGTAATCTGCCATGGGCCCCTGTACCGCCTCCTCATGCTGCTGCCAGGTCCAGAGTGTCTCATGGGTCCCTGTACGGCCTCCCATTGCTGCTGTCTCCATCGCCACACTCTGCCATGTGCCACTTTCAGGTCTCCTCACACTGCTGGTGGGTTCCATTTTTGTCATAGGGTGCTGGCAGATTACGGGCCTCCCATTGCTGCTGCTGGCCCGTAATCTGCCCGTAATCTGCCATGGGCCCCCCTGTACCGCCTCCTCATGCTGCTGCCAGGTCCAGTGTGTCATGGGTCTCATGGGTCCCTCCCTGTACGGCCTCCCATTGCTGCTGTCTCCATCGCCACACTCTGCCATGTGCCACTTTCAGGTCTCCTCACACTGCTGGTGGGTTCCATTTTGTCATAGGGTGCTGGCAGATTACGGGCCTCCCATTGCTGCTGCCAGGCCCGTAATCTGCCATGGGCCCCTGTACCGCCTCCTCATGCTGCTGCTGCCCAGGTCCAGAGTGTCTCATGGGTCCCTGTACGGCCTCCCATTGCTGCTGTCTCCATCGCCACACTCTGCCATGTGCCACTTTCAGGTCTCCTCACACTGCTGGTGGGTTCCATTTTGTCATAGGGTGCTGGCAGATTACGGGCCTCCCATTGCTGCTGCCAGGCCCGTAATCTGCCATGGGCCCCTGTACCGCCTCCTCATGCTGCTGCCAGGTCCAGAGTGTGTCGGTCCCTGTACGGCCTCCCATTGCTGCTGTCTCCATCGCCACACTCTGCCATGTGCCACTTTCAGGTCTCCTCACACTGCTGGTGGGGTTCCATTTTTTGTCATAGGGTGCTGGCAGATTACGGGCCTCCCATTGCTGCTGCCAGGCCCGTAATCTGCCATGGGCCCCTGTACCGCCTCCTCATGCTGCTGCCAGGCCCAGTAGTCTGTCATGGGTCCCTGTACGGCCTCCCATTGCTGCTGTCTCCATCGCCACACTCTGCCATGTGCCACTTTCAGGTCTCCTCACACTGCTGGTGGGTTCCATTTTGTCATAGGGTGCTGGCAGATTACGGGCCTCCCATTGCTGCTGCCAGGCCCGTAATCTGCCATGGCCCCTGTACCGCCTCCTCATGCTGCTGCCAGGTCCAGAGTGTCTCATGGGTCCCTGTACGGCCTCCCATTGCTGCTGTCTCCATCGCCACACTCTGCCATGTGCCACTTTCAGGTCCTCCTCACACTGCTGGTGGGTTCCATTTTGTCATAGGGTGCTGGCAGATTACGGGCCTCCCATTGCTGCTGCTGCCAGGCCCGTAATCTGCCATGGGCCCCCTGTACCGCCTCCTCATGCTGCTGCCAGGTCCAGAGTGTCTCATGGGTCCCTGTACGGCCTCCCATTGCTGCTGTCTCCATCGCCACACTCTGCCATGTGCCACTTTCAGGTCTCCTCACACTGCTGGTGGGTTCCATTTTGTCATAGGGTGCTGGCAGATTACGGGCCTCCCATTGCTGCTGCCAGGCCCGTAATCTGCCATGGGCCCCTGTACCGCCTCCTCATGCTGCTGCCAGGTCCAGAGTGTCTCATGGGTCCCTGTACGGCCTCCCATTGCTGCTGTCTCCATCGCCACACTCTGCCATGTGCCACTTTCAGGTCTCCTCACACTGCTGGTGGGTTCCATTTTGTCATAGGGTGCTGGCAGATTACGGGCCTCCCATTGCTGCTGCCAGGCCCGTAATCTGCCATGGGCCCCTGTACCGCCTCCTCATGCTGCTGCCAGGTCCCAGAGTCTCTCATGGGTCCCTGTACGGCCTCCCATTGCTGCTGTCTCCATCGCCACACTCTGCCATGTGCCACTTTCAGGTCTCCTCACACTGCTGGTGGGTTCCATTTTGTCATAGGGTGCTGGCAGATTATTACGGGCCTCCCATTGCTGCTGCCAGGCCCGTAATCTGCCATGGGCCCCTGTACCGCCTCCTCATGCTGCTGCCAGGTCCAGAGTGTCTCATGGGTCCCTGTACGGCCTCCCATTGCTGCTGTCTCCATCGCCCACACTCTGCCATGTGCCACTTTCAGGTCTCCTCACACTGCTGGTGGGTTCCATTTTGTCATAGGGTGCTGGCAGATTACGGGCCTCCCATTGCTGCTGCCAGGCCCGTAATCTGCCATGGGCCCCTGTACCGCCTCCTCATGCTGCTGCCGCCCAGAGTCTGTCATGGGTCCCTGTACGGCCTCCCATTGCTGCTGTCTCCATCGCCACACTCTGCCATGTGCCACTTTCAGGTCTCCTCACACTGCTGGTGGGTTCCATTTTGTCATAGGGTGCTGGCAGATTACGGGCCTCCCATTGCTGCTGCCAGGCCCGTAATCTGCCATGGGCCCCCCCGTACCGACTCCTCATGCTGTGACGTTGCAACAAGGTGGAATTCAACCCTACATATGTTAACCGCCTTTACGAACAGCGAAAGGCCATCACCGATTTCCTGATGTTACAAGCGGATAAAGGTACTCCCCTGTGTAACTTAGATGTCAGCCATTGGCAGCTCATGCGTGACACCTGCCGCTTGCTCAGGCCCTTTTGAGGAGGCCACGCTATTCGTGAGTCGGCAGGACTATGGGATGAACGACGTCATTCCTCTGTTGCACGTCCTGGAACAAATGCTGTTAACAATGGCTGGTCAGGGTGCGGTAGACGTGGCGCACAGATCTCAACGCCACATGACCCCTGTGGGGGCAGGACAGGAAGAAGAGGAGGAGGTAGAGGAGGACATTGGTGCTCAGGAATTATTGAGTGAAATGGGTGGTTTTTCCACTCAGCGGACAGGAGTGGAGGAGCAGGAGCATCTGGTAGAGGAGGAGGAGGAGACAGAGGACCCAGACGCACCGTGGCAGTATGCTGTGGAGATGGAGGCAGGGAGTCCCTCGCATTCCTTGGCACAAATGGCCCATAGCATGCTCGGTTGCTTGCGTAGCGACAGCCGAATAATAACCATCAGACAGAGGGATGACTTTTGGCTGTCCACCTTGTTGGACCCTCGCTACCGTTCAAAAATGGTGGCCTTTTTCACACCTGCTGAGAGGGAGGCCAAAATAAACGTACTATAAAAACCACCTATGTAGTCAGTTGGTCTCTGCCTTTCTGCGCCCAACGTCCATCCTCAGACACTGTGGGCCCTGTGCGCTCTAACCGCGTTCCGCTGCCATGGCAGCAGGGGAGGGGTGGGGTGGTAGGAGCAGTGGCAGCTCCACCAGCAGCGGCTGCCTCAGTCTGCAGTCGATGATGAGTAGCTTTCTTCACCAGCGCAGTGAGGAAACTACTAACCAGCCGCAGCAGCAGCAGCATCAGGTGGACCTGGAGCAGGACCTCAAAACAACAGGCTTGGGCCTACTTGGACAGCACCCTGCCAACCGAGGTAGACAATCCCCTTGACTACTGGGCAACGAAACTTGACCTTTGGCCCCAACTAGCTGAATTTGCCCTTGAAAGGCTGTCATGCCCGGCCAGTAGCGTGGCATCGGAGCGCGTGTTTAGTGCGGCAGGAGGTATTGTAACTCCGCGGAGGACACGACTGTCCACCCAAAGTGTGGAGAGACTCACGTTTGTGAAAATGAATCAGGCGTGGATTAGTCTGGATTTCAAACCACCAGTTCCTGACACAACTGACTAAATCCGCCATGAATCATGCCCCAAACATGTTATTATTTTTAACATAGGCCTCTGTATGGCCTTCAATTTAAGCTGCTACGCTTCGCTGCCAGGCCCGTACTCTGCCATGGGCCCCTGTACCGCCTCCTCTTGCTGCTGCCAGGTCCAGAGTGTGTCATGGGTCCCTGTACGGCCTCCCATTGCTGCTGTCTCCATCGCCACACTCTGCCATGTGCCACTTTCAGGTCTCCTCACACTGCTGGTGGGTTCCATTTTGTCATAGGGTGATCTGCCATGGGCCCCGGTGTACCGCCTCCTCATGCTGCTGCCAGGTCCAGAGTGGTCATGGGTCCCTGTAC